CTCTCCTTCAGTTTTGACAAATAGAGCAACTCTGGTCACCTGAAAGCTGGATTTACACATTTAAAACCATTCTGACCAATTTTTGATGTAATTGTTATGACTGTCTGTTTCCATGGAAATTTCAAATAACACATCAGATTTGTCTTTTTTGTTTTACGTACATGGAGCACATGAAAACAACCTGCATGCGCAGACACCCGAATTTCACATAAATAACTTCACAAGTGTAAACTTCAGGCAGTCACAGCCCCAAAGTCAACAATAACATGCTCACAGAAAATATTAACACTCATTCACAAAGGATTTAGATTTTCCAAAATCATATAGACATGTCCATCCATTTGTATTGCTTAAAAAGTTTTTCAATGTTTTTATTTCTGCTGTTTGTGCAGACGTGGTTGTAATGATATGGTATGTCACCAGTCTGTATTTCAATGAAGTATATAAATTGGCATATCCAATCTGTTATTATGATTATTATTGCAACACTCATATTGGCACATTGGTACGTACAGTATTGGATTTGTACCAACATTTGGGGTAGGCCTGATTCTGTTCTGAGGATATCTGATTCCATGCGTTTTTCCATTGATGCTGTCACAGGATATGTACAAATTATGCCTATTAAGGGCAAAAAAATTTAATTGGGTCACACGAACACTGCTGTGTAAATCCAGCCATTTTTTTTATCGACCTGTTTTATTAAAAAGGGGACAATACATACAACAGGGGAAGGTACTTTTGCAGAGTCCTCTTTCTTGCGCACTTTCATCATACTTAATGGAGGGGAAAAATGTTAAGACAAGAATGGGTAAAAGAGGAAATGAAATATGTTGTGTCATGAAAAAAGACGAACATGATGACACCACTGAAATTGTCTTAACCCTCTCGTATGCTGTTGCTCTCTCTCCCTCTATCTCTCTCTCTCTCTTCTTAGCTTCCTGTGTTGACCTCTTCAGTTTTCTCTGGCTTTGCTGAGAAGGTCCTCGCCCTCCAAAGTTTACTATTAAAATTTGAAATTTAAAATGTGGGAGAACACTGCCGGTATTGAGTAGTAAAACTGTTGAGAGTGCTCCAAAAGATGAAGAAAAGAAAAATCACATGATATGATATGATATTTTCTGATGTTTTTGAGACAGGATCAAGCATATTTACTCTGGTAGTTATCAGTGCAAGAATGTTCTTAAATACAGCAGCAGCAAGAATCACCTTTCTGCTCAAGACAAGCTGGCCTTAGGCAAGTCTTGCACGTTAAAACTCTAATTCAATTAAGCAAAGTCTTGTTACTGGGGCTAATCCAGATGGATGTATGGTCATCAGCACAACAAAGAAACTTAACAACAATAGCAGGAGCTTTGTTTTTTAGAGTTATGACCCGCCTGTGCATGCAGAGATAATAGGACCTATTTTGGTATAGACTGGCAACTGTGTGCTCGGTGAAAAAAGAGGCCGCGTTACACCTCTTGGACGTTCTTACACCCACTACTCTAAAAAATTAACAGAAAGTAGCTTGCCCTTAGTCTAAAAAAAGGCGCATCATGATTTCCGTGCCGAAGCAACGGTCTCGTTCAGCGTCTTTCCGAAGTAGGTAGTTGCGCCACACCCCTAGCGCATCTGCAAATTTGGTTACAAAAGTACACTAAATATTAGACTCGGTAAAAGCAGGTCTAACTCATGGCGCAGGTGGTGTAGCACAATTTTGCTGTAGTTGGTCAAAGCCGCAAGCAGACAGATGTGTGTAGTTGATGTTACCAGATTTTATTCATAATCATTTATGAATATGACACTAGTGTGGTACAGTACGTTTGAACCATTATAGAAATCCATCCACACGCATTCCTACAGGGGAGATATTGGTGCTGCACCTCTTGAGCTAAGAGACTGTTAACAGCAGTCCGGAAGCAGACTAGTCGCCATTTTGCATTTCATTTGCATTTCAAACTGTAACCCTCTAGTTCTAAAGCCCAAGCTACTTACACCCTCAATTACAATTATGCTTACAAAAAAAAGGAACAACCGTTGATTTTGTTTTAAAATACGTTGCACATCTGATTACCCTGATTTCTGAGATTTTCGGATTATATTTATGTCTCTCACACAGCTGGCATTTCAATATGGATTGCAAGTTAAAACAGGATGTATGGTTTTATGAAAAAAAATTACTTCATTGAGAATAAATTGGGCTTCTCTTTTTTCCCCCTTCAAAGAAAAACAATTACAGTACAGTGAGTGCTTGAATGCTGTATTATGATTAATATTACAAAATATGACACCATTACTACACTTTAAGGCTTCAACCAAGAGATTACATCTTGTGACTCACATCCTAATGATGTCTAAAAGCCTGGCAGGCATGTCAGCATTTCCTTTGGCAGACTCTGGAGACACTGGAAGAAACGAGAAACATCTGCATCATGAAGTGCAGATTGTAATAGAGGGCTTTCAGCTTTTGTCAATCTAGTTAGTGCAGACATTAGGCCATTTCAACTGAGATCATTTGCTCAGCAAGACTTGCTGAAAGGTCTCTATTAAGCCGTAAACTGAGAGAGGTTGCCTGCTGTCACGCACTGTTTCTATGAGGCATAACCGAACCAAGCACCTTTGCATGACAAATTGTCGATGCATTTTTTTTTTTTATTAACCTTTTTTCTTGCAGATGAATGTGCAACTAGCGTTTGACATTAAAACTCACGCAACGGCAAAGGCGTGCCAAGATTCGAAAAATAGGATAATAAATAAGTTAATGGCACTGCAGTGGAGCATTTCTGCGAGAGGGCCCAAAAATCTATTTTTTCTTAGGACACAATGGATGAGTGCTTGATTTCTGTCTTGTCCCAACTGGGAGGTCAAATCCACAAGGCTGACGAAATTTTTTTGACGGCATGAAATGCGGCCATCTTGTATGAGATGAAAAGGAGCCCCGATAGGTGACGGTACGTGTGACAAACAGACTCTGCATCACCGGCCTGATCAGTTGAAGGTAGATGAATAAATCATCGAAGCGGAGGCGGTGCTGCGATGAACATATACCGTAGATAGATTTGTAGCGAAGAAAAGTCATTCACCATGTGGCTGATGGCTCCATTCGGACGCTGTAAATGGAGTCCAAGCAAAGGGAGGAGGTGAAGGCCTGATTGAAGGAGGTGTCAGATGACCACGCTTTTGTCTGTTCGACATGAGAAGCCGAGGCCATTAGACAGCACAAAGCTTGCAAATGCAGAGCAGGTAATGTGATTATCCTCACTCCTGCTTCAAAGTGGTTGTCAACACATAGCCGTCCGTGCATCCATTGGAAACAGAATGCCACCCTGGACACAATACAGTAGTAGGGTAGTACGGTATTTTCCGCACGATAAGGCGCTTCGGAGTACAAGGCGCACCTTCAATAAATGGCCTAATTTAAAACTGTTTTCATATATAGGGCGCACCACATTTTAAGGCGCATAGAATAAAAGCTACAATAGCGGCTGCGGTTGCATTATGCATCCACTAGATGGTGCTATGCTAAAGGGAATACAATACAATTAAGGACAGTTTTATTTATATAGAACTTTTACAACTGCTGCAGCTGTAACAAAGCGCTTTACAGAACATTTAAAATAACATGTCCAAGAAATCAGAATATTGATCATATACAGCACAGGTGTCGAAGTCCGGCCCTCGAGGGCCGGACTTCGACACCTGTGATATACAGTATAAGGCACATCGAATTATAAGGCACGCTGTCAGCTTTTGAGAAAATCGAATGCTTTTCAGTGCACCTTATAGTGTGGACTATACGGTATTCCCTCCCACAAAGAAGTGTGAACACGATATTTGGGATTTCACCAGATCACCTTTACAGCAGGTAATGTTTTGTGAACATAATACATGTACCAGGGTACAAAAAAAAAGTTTTCCATTGCTATATTCGCAACTGTTCACAATCTTTAATATGTTCAGGTAATAGCAGCCTGTAGCTTACTTTATACCCTAATGCGCATAAAGGTGATAGGAAATTGTTAACATAACCATTGTTTTACATTAAATGTTCTGTAAAGTGCTTTGTTACTGTTGCGAAAGCGCTCTATAAATAAATACGTATTGTATACATTGTTTTGTATTTAGACTTGTCTTTGGAATTAAAAATACAGCTAGTACAATATATGGATAAGTGGATGGGATTGTCGCCAAGCACTATGGGGACCCCGGTTTGAAGCCATCTTAAATAGTGTTCGTTTCTGTTGATGCACCCTTGAGCCAGATACCGCAACCGAAAAATCAGCTCAGGCCCAGAAGCCTGTCGAGGTACGCTATCACACACGCATACAGTATCTATCTTGCCAGCAAACGTTCTCCAAACTAAATGGGTTTGGACAACGCAACCAATTAATGCTCATCACTGCTCTTAGAATAACAAACAGCCACCGGATGCATAAACAGAATGCGGTTCCATGTTTTGACATGGTGAGCCATGCAGACACATTCTGTTAATGAGTCTGCGTCGAGTGTGGTAGTTGACTGAATGTGGTCGTCTCCCAAAAAGGACCAATTATTTTTACACTCTGGTGAAGTGATGATATTACTTGTCTCCGTTGATGTGACGTGGCAATTTTCCTGTTCTGTTCTTACAATAAGTATTTTACCCAAAAGAGAAATTAAGCAATGAGTTTGTTCAGTAAATAATTTTTTAAAATTTCCTTCCATTTAAGCTGTCCTGTGGTTAGGCAAAATGGTGGATCTGTATGCTTCTCTATGCCTGGCAGGTTAATGGACCACTCGACATTGTCCCTATGTGTGAGTGTGAGCGCGGATGGTTGTTCGGCTATGTATGCCCTGTGATTGGCTGGCAACCAGTTCAGGGTGTCCCCCACCTCCTGCCCGAAGACACCCTGGATAGGCTCCAGCACGCCCGTGACCCTCGTGAAGATAACGCGGTTCATGGATGGACTATTAAAGCCATCTTTTTCTATCCCTCACTCCATCTCATGATCTTGTGTCCGCTTTTTTGTTCTCACCAGACTAGAGGAATGTCGCTGACACCCCGACCATAGTGTGAGCTGAGATGGGCTCAGAGGAGCATACGTCAGTCATGTCGCAGAAGATCTCCTTGTCCCGCAGCAACAGCAGCTCCTCATCCAAACATGACAGCCGACAGGTAAAACACACCTCCTTACTTAATGTCAGTGGTGGTCCTAGCCTGCCTGTATGGCCCCTCTCCACGAACACACGCAGACTGAAGAGAAAAAAACAAACTGTTTATGTTTGTGGAAATAGATACGGAATTCAAAACAGATAAGTTGCAATGTACAAATACAGCAACAGCAAAGAATCATTAGAATTATTGAAAAAAAAAATGTGCGCGCACACGCACACACAAACACAAATCTTGCATCGCACAAAAAAAAAAAATAATAATAACAGAACCTAATTTTATTTTTACGATTAGATTGGGAATTTAAGAGATAAGGCTTTCTGCCGTCTGGCCTTCCTTGATGCAAAATTGTATATGTTGCTGTTCTTGTATGATATCTGCTCCACAATTATGTGGTCAAAGCTTATAATGCTGAGGCCACTTCATTATAAATTGTTAATTTCTCAGAAATAAATTAGCAAGGGGCAGCATGGTGGTAGACTGGTGAGCATGTCCACCTGTCAGCGCAAGAGGTGGAAGCTTTGATTCCGGCTCCGGCCTTCCTGTGTGGAGTTTGCATGTTCTCCTCCTCGTGCCTGTGTGGGTTTTCTCCGGGTACTCCGGTTTCCAGGGCAGGTCAATGGAACACTCAAAACTACACTCAAAACTGTCCCTAGGGTGCATTTGTGAGAGCGAATGGTTGTTCGTCTATATAAGATAAGAAAACCTTTACTTGTCCCACAATGGAGAAATTTGAAATATGTGCTCTTTGATTGGCTGGCAACCAGTACAGGGTGCCCCTGTACTACTACTACTACTCCTACTGCCCCAAGACAGCTCGGATAGGCTCCAGCACGACCGCAACCCTTGTGAGGATAAATGGCTTCGAAAATGGATAGACGGTTGGAGGAATTAGCAAGAGGCTAAAAAAGAGAGATTACAAGGTTTCTTGAAACACTTTGCTAATCAACATCACCACTAGATGTTATCGAGAACTTCAAACCGGAACCCTCTTCCCCATAAAAAAAGCACATACTATAGTCGTAAGATTAAAGCCGTCGTCATAGCGGCATCATTTGCTTATTTCCCCTCCTCTTCTTTTTGTTCAAAATTGTGCACCAGATGGCTCTGACCATTCCCCCAATGTGTTTGCCAGAAGCGTAATTTAGATTTCCTATCATTGGCCAAGACCTCTCACCGCAATCCTGCATTTGCATTCGACAGATGCTCCACTCCACAAGGGGACGCAACTCCCACATGCAAATGCTGACGAAGGACGTGTCACGTCCTTACAAACCAATTCACAGCATTTTTGTGATTTACTTTGGGGCATTTGCCAAGAGAAACAACGCCGCCCTGTGCGGCCGCACGTAATGCACATACCCAAAACCGCCACGGGTTGTGGTGTTCACTTATGGTTGTAAAAAATTGCATCCCTTCACATATGTGTGCGTGTCACTTCCAGTTTGTTTGCGAAATCTGAAAACCAGTTCCGAAGCCGCCTATTCCGCTGAGCGGCCGACAATTGTGAGTCTTTTCCAGGACAGCGAATGTTGTCAGTGATGATCCGTTCAAGGTGGTAAATGCTCGCCTAACGGTCACCAGACGTTTGCCTGTACTTTTGAAATTTGGAACATGTTCAAAATTCCATTGCGAGCTGAAAAAAAACAGTAAACTCTTATACCGAATGTCTGGTGAACATACGGGACCTCAAACAAACCCTGACGAACCCTGACATGCATTTTGCTCCCTCCACCAGCAGTCACCACTGTTTGCTGCTGAGCGGGATAGAGGCTTCAATGATATCAGCCACTTAACAACAAAATACACTAAATTACTCAAAATAAGCCAAAACTCCAGAACGTTCCAGGATCATTTGGAGATGTCTTTCTTAATGTGCACCCTTTCACTTTTACAAACGTAACGAATACAAATAAAACGTTTCTTTGCCTTGGCACAAAGAATCCTTTGCATTGATATGCAGAACACAATTTCAAGCTTGGAAAAGGTCTTCACTCTCCCGAGTCTTGTTTTCTATTGCCCTTTTCCATGAATGCAATTGAGCATTTCTATCAAATCCAATCACTCTCTCATGCCTCGACAAATTACCGAAGCTGTTGTCACCCCGGTTGTTGTTGTTCCAAGCAGTGTATCATTAGTTTTTCATCAGCCACATAAGCTTATCCATTTGTAAATAAATGTTAGCGCTTGTTACAGGTCACACAACCGGCGAGCCTGGTGCTATAATGCAAGGTTTTTTTGGCTCGAAGTACAAACCGAGCCATTACCCGGAGAGCCGTCGTGACCTCACCTGTACGTGTCTGTGATCCGTCAGCAATGCTGCTGAAAATGATATGTGCAACATGGCATATCGTCTCATCATTTACGTCACTGCTGATGCCTTCCGAGTGTGTTTCGACCTTCACAACACGAGTCCAGACTGTCAGACAAGACAGTATGTCCAATGACTCACTGTGTGACAGTGTCACTGGGGATGTGACAAACCCTCAGATGGCAAGAAACAGCCAAGCCTCTTCTCTTAGTACAGTAATTCATTTGTTCTGAGGGTTTCTTTGAGGCAGACCTGCCCCCACAAATCACTTCCTCTCCCTCTGGTGACTTTTAGTGTGAACTCTGTACACTGGAGCAGTTATTTAGACAAAAAAAAAAAAAAAAAAGTCAACCGACCAACCAATTAAGCTTCGACAAGGACATAATGTGATGTTGGGCGTTTATCTAACCTGCAGGACAGCTGGGAGATTGTGGAGGGTCTACGCGGAGGCTTCAGCAATGTCCTGGAGCCGCAGAAACAGGAAAGCTATGTGCTCAAGAAGAGAAAATGGCCCCTGAAGGGCTGGCATAAGGTACACTGTCTCATGTCTTAATACGCCCCCCTCCCACCCTTTACTTTGGTTTCCCCTCTACGTTGGCAAGGCAATTTTCTTGGCCATATCTGTCGTCAGGCTGGTCGAATTTGCAAAAATGAACTTGTCCAGGGTCGCTGTTAGCGCCTTGACTCGATAAAGATTGGGAAACTCTACTGTATGTTTCCCCCCGTTGCGGAGTGGCATGCGACATGTCGCTGCTCCACATGCAAGGCTTCCTGTGCGATGCATTAGCTGATGGCCTGCTGATTTGTCGGGCTGAATATGTTTAGTATTGACTTTTTCGTGCTTTCAACAGTCACATGTGCAGGAAGAGCGAGAGCGCTCGTCGCTTTTACAAAGAGAGTTCATGATAGCCGCATATGACAATAGCAACGCATGAAGCTGCGTCTATACTTGCCTTATGTCTTTTTTTTTTCTCCCTATAGAGATACTTTTCCCTGGACAAGGGCATCCTGAAGTATGGCAAGTGCAATGCTGATGTGAGTTGTCTACTGGCTCCAAATGACCGTGGCCTTGCCTTTTACAGCTCGTGCTCATCCCGTGTTGCCTACTAGACCAGCAACAGGCAATTACTTTATTGTAGATGTTGACATTTATGATGCACCGTGTTCATCGCATAATGTGTTGCCTTGCAGATTGAGAAGGGGAAGCTTCATGGCTGCATTGATGTGGGGCTCTCCGTGATGGCCATTAAGAAGAAAGCCAAGTGCATCGATCTTGATGCCGAGGAGAACATCTATCACCTGAAGGTAAACCGCAAGGCTAGTCAACAGGCCGATGTATCGGAAACGAGGTCAAAACATGTACCGTTCCAATAATTTCCCTGGCAGCTTAACATGTATATTCTTAAATGAGCACGGGGTGACCTTGTGTTGTGTTTGTGTGCGAACAAGACATTGTTTGCGCCCGTCACCTCGCCTTGTCCTTGTGTCTTGTGCGCCGTGCAGATCAAGTCACAGGAGCTGTTTGATGAATGGGTGTCCAAGCTACGTCACCACCGGCTCTATCGGCAAAATGAGATTGCCATGTGTCCCAACGAGAAGTCTTTCCACTTCCCCCACTACCCCTCCCCGACATCTCCTGATAGCACCCCTCTTAGAAAGGTAGAGCTGCCCGAATGAACTGTCACTGCTCATATCGAGGCTTATTTTCCCTTGCTTAGGTTCAGCTCTATTTGCGAAGAGGTAATAAATATTGTTGTTATTGGGGATGACCTTTTGTTTGTGCAGTGTGGGTCTATACGCAGGCAGTCCACGGTGCACTCGGCGGGGGCGTTCCCTTTCAGCTACAGTAGCCAAGCCAAGGTAACAGCCTGGCTGCAGTCATCCGATGACATGGACAAGTGCTCTAAAGGTGAACGCGCGCACAGCTGCTCATTGGCAAGCTTCATCACGACCCACCCATCCCGAAAAATATTTCAGTCATATCGTATCTTCGTTGTTTGAAGTCAAATGCACCTCGCAATACATTCTATAGGACAGCAGTGAAACTATACCCGAGTAGATTTTTTTTCTTCTCTCATAGCAGCCATTTTGAAATTCCTCCCCACCAAATTAGAAGATTTTAAATTGTCCGTAGCCGTCAATGTCCCTGCGAATGACTGGCAACCAGTCCAGTTTGTGCCCTGCCTCTTGCCCAGAGTCATTTTCACCCGAATGGGCATAAATTGAATTTGAATGGATGCTTTTGCAGCAACAGCGGCCTCTGTTGCCTTCAGGAGTAATCACAGGATTCCTTGAGAGTACTGTACTTTCTCAACGGCTGAATTTGAATCCGTTTTATGGCCCGATGAGGCTTTTGCGAGAACGTGAAATTTAAAAGACAAAAAGAGATTTTTTTGCCCCGAGGGGCCTAACTATAAGTTGTCCATCCATCCATTTTCTGATCCTCTTAATCCTCACAAGGGTCGCGGGGGGTGCTGGAGCCTATCCCAGCCGTCCTCCTGCGTGGGGTTTTTCCTGGTACTCCGGTTTCCTCCCACATTCCCAAAACATGCGAGGCAGGTTAATGTAACACTCTAAAGCAGGGGTGTCAAACTCATTTCACATGGTGGGCCACATACGGCCTGGGTAGATGTCAAGTGGGCCAGACCATTAAAATGATACCATGCTTTGCTATAAATAACCAAAACAACATGTCTTTCCTTTGTTTTAGTATAAAGAAGCACAAGAACATTAGGAAAATGTTGAAATTTATTGAACATATCTTTTACAAAACATTTCATGAAGCACCTTAGATTTCCTTAGACAAATGTGCATTTTACTTTTATCGTTCACATATATTCATTGCAACTGGTCCCACTGATTGTGCAAAGGCACAAAACTTTAACAATTGGTCGTGAAAAATAGAGTAATACATTTTAAGAATAAATGAGATTGATAAAGAAAGGAATTTAAAAAACATTTACACGTGCATATAAAATCTAAATGTAATCCCTGCCTACACCTTACAAACTAAGGAGCGTGCTATTAAATGTGTAAATGTGAGAGTGCTATTGATAGCGTCTGCTGTCATGGGTCTGTCTCAGTGATGGACTGAGGCTGCTGTTGTCTTCTTCTCTGATCAAAACAGTGTCCCCTAGCGGATACTCAATGAATTGCACCTTCTTAAAAATATTTATTCTGTGTCTTTTATGCATTTTCTTCACTTTTAAATTATCCTGTGGGGCCTGATTGAACGGCCCGCGGACCGTATGTTTGACACCACTGCTTTACATAATCATCTCGCGGGCCAGATTAAAGTCCTTTGCGGGCCGGATCCGGCCCGCGGGCCGTACATTTGACACCCCTGCTCTACACTGTGAGGTCGACGTGCTAACCACTGGCCCACCGGGCCGCCCACACCAAGTTGTTTAAACCACAAATCAACTACAGTTAAACATGCATTTTTTTTTAACAGGTCCATGAATACACACTGAACAGCGTCAGTTTATAAAAAGAATGACGACTGTTGAAGACTTTTCCTGACGGTCTACTGCCAAAGTCAAAAGTGCTCATGTCAACAAAAGTGTTTTGTTATTTATCTTCCTCGCTTTAGACTTGTCAGTTTGTGAAGCGTACCTTCTCGAGTTGAGCCACCTTCTTCAGAGTATGGAGGTCCTCCATCGCACCTATTCTGCACCCTCAATCCAAGCACTTCAGGTGGTTTAGCATATTTGTTCCTCTGTCTCATGGAAGCACCAGTATCACAAAATTCCACAATTTTCTGCTATTTTTTTGTCTCTACGTTTGCTCTACTCTGGCTGCTATATATAGAACTTTTCCAAATCTATTTTATTTCAATTGTCTACGATGACAGCTCTTTTGTTGAAAGGGTAATATCCATCCGCTGTGTTATGATCGCCAGACATCAACATTTGACAGCCCTAAGAAGGAAAAGAGGCTTCAAAGAAAATGGCGCACAAAGAACTACAACAAAGACACCAAAACAACTCTGCAGGTAAGTTGTCAAAAACTCCACTTTTGAATGTCTCTGTTGGCTAAACCGCGGTTTCTTTTGTTCTGCTGCAGGTTCCCAGCTGCATCGCTGGTTCTGTCCGCCTCCATTCCTCCAACCCCAACCTCTCCACTACCACGCTCGCCAATGACAAAGCTGACCCGGAGTCTCTGGATTCTCCTTTTGATGTGGCCAAGCTGCAGGAGGACTTCTGCCGTGTCGCCACTAACCGTAAGTGACACATCCGCAGGGGTTTTTTGAATTAACACCTGGATTTTTTTTTTTTTTTAATCACACTGTGCAAGCCATTTTTACATTGGTTGTTTGTGTTCACACTCTCGTAATGTCGTGTTTATTTAAAGCAATCATTTTTATGGGGGGCGGACGGTTGGTGGAGTGGAGAGCGCGGCGACCTCACAGTGCAGAGGTCGTGGGTTCAATCCCGGGTCCGGCCTTCCTGCGTGCCTTTTCTCCGGGTACTCCGGTTTCCTCCCACATTCCAAAAACATGCATGGCAGGCTGATTGAACACTCTAAATTGTCCCAAGGTGTGAGTGTGAGCGCAGGTTGTTCATCTGTGTGTGCCCTGCGATTGGCTGGCAACCGGTTCAGGGTGTCCCCCGCCTACTGCCTGATGACGGTTGGGATAGGCTCCAGCATGCCCTTGTGACGATAAAGTGGATCAGAAAATGGATGGATGGATTTTTATGGGGTTTATGTTAATTGGGATGCCCTTGCATGGGGGAAAGAAGAGCCACAGTTTGCCGATGTACTTTTCAGCTGTTTCTTGAACAGCAAAACACATTGTGGACAGTCACATAGAACCTGTTGTCTGCCACAACTCTCACCCGGGCACTCATACACCACAAAACCAATCACTTAAAGGCACATGCATCTACACAGGTGCTGTCATCCGTGCGGTATTTTCGAAATGTTTCACGCTTTCAATTTTGGGGGAGGATTGAAATACTTTTCTGTTTATAAAATGTCTTTGAACATATATTAGTTTTTAACGGTGTAAAACAAAACTCATGCTGGCAACCAGTTAAGTGTGTACCCCACAACTGGCCGAAGACAGCTGGGATAGGCTTCAGCATGCCCCGCGACGCTTGCGAGGATAAAGCGGATCAGAACATGGATGGATGGATCGAGTTAGGGAGTGCATGTTCTGATGTGACACCCCAGCAGCAGTGATGAAAAATTGTGGCCCAAATCTAATAGATTTTGCAATTTTTTTGTAACGTCTTTTCAGCTTTTTTCTGCCTGTCAAATCAATCATCAAATGTTTTCCCGAGCTGCAACTAAGTGAAAAGTTTCAGTTCGCTCTTGCAGGAAATGTGTTCGTAATTAGAGAAGTGCCCCCATCGGGTCCTATCATTCTACTGCCAGAGTAGCACTCATGCTAAGTCTTTGTTGTTGTGAAAAGCCTTCCAAATTGCAATCGCAGCTTGTTTATGCCTCTCTTCAGTGCACACCACCATGAAGTCAGCCCTGAGTTCCCTCACGTCAGAGAGGGAGCGATTAAAACAATGCGTGGACCAAGACTGCTGTCCTCCAACCTCCCCGCAAGTGGTCGGCTTGAAGAACGCGCTGACAACGGTACGTGGGCTCCGTTGCCACACACTCACAGACACTCCACTCGAGTCTCCTTGAGGGTTTGTCAGCGGAGGGCCACTCGCCAACCTGGCTGAGACCTCAGTCGCCAGTGATTCCCATTCAGGCTTTTTTTCCCTCTCTTTCTAAAGTTAACATAGATCGTCATACAGTAGAACCTCTGAGCTTTTGACGGCAACACATGACAATAATAGCCTGCTCTCTGTTAGCTCCTAATGACTCAGTCTAACTGCGTGACCACACAGCGTGGCAATAATGGACCACTCATATTTTCCATTGTACATTGTGGGCTTCCTTGGATTCTCCAACGATAACATTTAGCACATTCCAAATTATTGTCATGCTGCGTGCGCCGTAATGAATTTAACTCGCAACGGCGCTCCGCGGAGCAATTGGTGGATTATGACCTTCTGCTTTTGCATCAATTTTGTCATCAACAATAATTTATTATTCACTGCAAAATGAAGGGAAACACCAAATTTTACAACCGACATTAGAAGATCATAAATGGCGGACCGCCTTGTGTTTATTCATCTGTTTGCCAGTTGCTACGTCCTTCTTCAAGGAGGATGACGGAACAATTAAGTCATTCAATGAATGGCAACGTGACTCAAACTGTGAACTTCAAATTCACTGTATGCTTTAATAAAAAATATCACAAAAGTGTACACGGGCCAATTGCCATGTTTTCCTGTTGCTACACGTCGCTGGCCAAGACAGAGGAACAAAGATACGTTACTTGTAGTAAATGAATCGTTTTCGGACCGATTAGGTGAACTCAGACAATTTCCCGCAGCACACCAGGTGATCTCTTACAGCAGAATCGTGTTCCACAACACACTAGTTAGAAATGACTTCTGAATGGGCAGATGGGCCGTACGCGTTTCATATCTGGGACTTGGTGAAATCCCATCGAAGCCGGAACCTCTCGAGTGTGCGGCAGATGTGCTAACCATGATATCATGTCATGCCGCTTATGCTGCCTTTATGCCTATAGTATGGGCCAAGTGCTTTTCTGGATCCACTACTTTGAAATTAAATTAAAGGAGCTCTAGTCAAAATAGACCCCCTACCCCCATTTTCAATTCCAATCTCAACGACGACTGTTAGAGGAACAAAGATACGTTACTTGCAGTAAATGAATCATTTTCGGACCGATTAGGTGAACTCGGACAATTTCCCGCAGCACACCAGATGATCTCTTACAGCAGAATCGTGTTCCACAACACACTGGTTAGAAATTACTTCTGAATGGACAGATGGGCCGTACGCGTTTCAAATCTGGGACTTGGTGAAATCCCATCGAAGCCAGAACCTCTCGAGTGTGCGGCAGATGTGCTCACCATGATATCATGTCATGCCGCTTATGCTGCCTTTATGCCTATAGTATGGGCCACGTGCTTTTCTAGATCCACTACTTTGAAATGAAAGCTCTGGTCAAAATAGACCCCCCACCCCCATTTTCAATTCCAATCTCAACGACGACTGTGACATTATTTCTGGGTCGTGTTGACGTCTCATGACTTGGCCGTTGCACAGGAGTCTTAAATTGTATTGGCGGAGTGCTGAAGTGTTTTCCAGTTTGACCTCAAATGTGTTTTCAATCTTGTTTTTTTTTTTTTTTTTTTTTTTTATTAACAATATTATTGATTGCAGGTAGTGAAATCACGAAATGCCATGCACTTAAGCAATTGGAAATGTTACTAAGAAATGTTATTACACATTCTTTTGTAACACTGTTAGATTGTTAATTCATGAAGAAGCTATTCAACAGACAGGGATTGCCGTGTGTCTGAGCCATCAAATTTAACCAATAGAAAATAGTTGTTGCTTTTTGCTGTTGTTGTTCAACCAATCTAGGGAATAGAGTTCCCCCGCCCTATAATACCGAATGGGATAATAGCCTCGACAAAATAGTAGGATGGAAGGAAGGATGATGGATTGATGCTGATGTTCAAAAACACATGGCAATAAACGCCATGCACATGCCTCACTAAAAAGCTTTAGAGCAGTGCTTCTTCATTATTTTCTGTTGCACCCCACTAGATAGAATAAAGTATTTAGTGCCCTCCCCCAATTCGCCGCTGCAGAAATTATGATAGCACCACTGCCACCTACTGTTGTGGATGTGCAAATACAGTTCATTCTAGTTCACCCCATCAACGTAAAAATATCTTACGTACGACCCTAATTTTTGTCTAACTTCCCCAAATTGTTCAATCTGTGGCTAAATGAAGGATAAGACTTCTGGGAAGAATATTTGGCAACTCCCGCTAATTAAAAATCAAATATGAGAGCTCGATTTGTGGGCGGCTGTGTTTAAATCACGTGTACACTGGTTATTATTTTTCAGGCTTTAGCCCAGAACTCAGAGCTGCGAGAGCGCCTCTGCAAGATTCACGCAGAATCTTACATCGTAGAAGCCACACTGCACAATCTCACTGCCCCCGTCGTGCAGGTGGGTGTGTGGGAATGCAGTGACTCCCGTTTCCCCCCCCCACCGCCACCAGCATGATGATTATTCGGATGATTACTTCCCTCCTTATTTGCCTCCCACATCATCAACAAGCTGCCATTTCTTTCATTCTCATCCGCATGCTGCCATCATGTTGCTCTCCCACTCGCCCCCTCAGTAATGACGACTTGACGCCATAAAAAAAAAAAAAAACAACAACATATAAATAAAAAAATAAATAAGAGGAACACATTGTGGGTCTCGGCATTGGGAATCATTTGCATGCGGCCGTGTGTTTGGTGTGATCACACGATGAGCTGGCACGTGGAGGCTTTTGGCTCCTCTGGTAATCGGATTTACTGTCCACGGAGTGTTAGCTGATCATGCTAATTGTGTCCCGGGAAATTTGTTAAATACACATGGGGGCATGTGCATCCTATGAGATTATCTAATGGGACTGTAACAAAATGTTGCTCTCTTAACAAATTATATTATGACAACCAGTGAGAATTGCAATGATTTTGCATAATAGCTGCAAAGTAACTATTAAATTGGGATTCATTAATATTGTGGTAGTTTTTTTTTTCCCTGCTGTTTTTACACATAGAACAAAACAGAAGTACACAAAACTCCACTGTGAGCAGATGTACAGCCGGATATTAAAAATATAAGTGCGACGATGCACCTCATCATCTCAGCGGTTCATTAGTGTCATCAAGGTTCTGATAGTCATTATGTGCACTCACCATAGGGCCATTCTCATCAAAGTGTGATTATACCGTGTGGTGACACAGACTCCGCCCCCGCTCCCCAAGCCGCTCCTGAGTCCTGACGGTGCAAAGAGCCTCTTTTGGTTTTGTATTTATCCGTCTCGATGTTGTGTCTCCTAGAAACAGGAGGAATCTGCCCCCGAATCCCGTTCTTTGGTGCATCAAGAGTCAAATGAAAGCAGAGCTGAGTCACTGTCGGAGTTCTTTGACGCGCAGGAGGGTCTGTTGTCCAACAGTTCCTCTGAAAATGAGGTAAATGGGGGGGAAATGCAAAGGTTTATGCCTCATACACAATGACAACAATAAATGTCCGTATCTAATGTCGACTGTACTGTAGAACTGGTGTAAACATTTGGCCACTTTCAATTTATACTCTCATATTTTGATTGAAAGTGATTTTTTTTGGGGGGGTGGGGTGTTCATGTGGCTTGAAATGACGCAAGAAAGTGGCAATGGAAGGAAGAACTTGTGTTCAGTGAACTATTACTCTCACAGTCTTTCTTCCATTTAGTCCAAGGAACGTGTCTGCCTGCATCATTTTTGGAGGAGGCAAGAATTGCCTCTAAAAATTGCTGTTTGGAAGTACGCCGTCACCGAGGGCCCGTATCCACCCATATTAGCGCATCGCAACAAAGACAAAGATAATGACATACAAACATTCCCCCAGCCCCCAGAGAAATGGTTACAAATCTGATGATTTTTGCCGATTATTCCTTCACACAATACAATAAAGACAAACACTACATTTTTGATGGTTTTTTTTTTACATATTAACACAACACAAAGATAACTGACTTTTTTTTTCATAGTTTTTTGCTGATTCTCCTCTCCGTTGTACAGTTGAAGAAATAGTCAATTGTTGCTTTATTCATGAGATTCTTTTAAAATTAATCGCCATCAGAATTTTACTCTGCCAAATCTCAGAGTCAGCATTTGCCTCAAACGATCAGTCGAGCTCTACTGTCGTACACCCTCAAACGACTGTATGAGGGTGTCATTCGACTCGACAACTGTTTTTCTAATAGCCATAGCAGCCAAAGTTTCCGGGGGTTTTTTTTGTTTGTTTAATTTTTCCAGAGGGGGATGGCGCATCTGTCATACATGAGAATGATTTCACTCAGGAAGGAATGGTTCTTCTTTTTATACCATAGCAGGAAATTGTCAGTTAGAAATTCCACATATTTTGCAGAAGTCATTTTGACACTTTGAAGTACCCCAAAATGGGCCTGCGAATTCACTCCCCAGTATTCCTGCCCAACACATCGACTTGCCATCACCGGACTGACATTGCATTTTTCGTGGTGGGACATCCACCTCCATCTCCATTCAGAACGCCGTCCGATTAACCCATTCACATATCGGTGACTGTTTGAAAATTTGTCTTCATGTATTCCTGAGCCTACGGCGAACAGTTCTCTTTTGTGCGTACTGGTAAGGACTGGACAAAATATCGTGTTGGGCCTCCAGACATCAGCGGCTTCAAATTGTCATCATATGCATAATAAATTGCAAAAGTGTTGATTCAATGTTCCTGATATGAATCCTGTAATATGTACTTGAAGTTACGATTATCTTTAAATTGCTGCGAAATACCATGGAAAATTTGTCCAATAAGATCAAGCATATGGTGTTTTGAAAAGATAAATATTTCTCAATTCACAACTTCCGACAGACTTTTGACACTTTCTCATGTCATCTCCTGCCAGAATCTATCTATTCAACACATCAAAATTCACTCTTAACTCAAATTGTATTAGTAATTGATTAATTTTGACTCGTGGTTTATTGATAGACACTGTGACAAGTTTGATAGCAAGCAAATACTGTCGGAAAATCATAAAAATTCGGGATCAGATTGTTAATCTGCCACAGGAAATGGAACATTTAACTCATTCACTCCCAAAGACGTATTTAGATGTCTTTTCAGACCCTTTTCAAGTACAGTCAATATAAAAGGAGGAGCTAGGGTTAAATGTGTGGCCTCTGAAAAGACATCTAAATCCGTCTTTGGGAGTGAATGAGTTTTAAGCATATTTACATATCTAAGAATGTGCTGCGAAAAACAAATGCATTGATTACTAGAACCGTTAGATTTTAGTACGTTTACAAAAGCAATTCAGGTTTACAGAGGTCCAATCAACGGCGTTCTAGTTGCATTGTGTGTTCAACTATAGGATCCAGCCTCGAGTTGCATCAGGGCTGTGGCGCTGCCTGACGAAGTTACGCTTCCAATCAAATTCTCCAGTCTTCAATAGAATCCTTCAATCTTTTGAAACTTGTTTTTGACAGTCGTCTATCACATGGGACACGTTTGAAATTCAACTCAGGCGTCTCGTTTCGTGCTGGAGGCTTCTTGAAGCCTTTTAAATTTCACTGTCATGAAATAAGGCTGCGCTCTGACTGTACTGTACATCACCCCCCCCCCCTCCTCACTTTATTGTCATGTGGCTGGTCGGAGAGCAGCAAGAGCGGAGGTGGTGTAAAAATGGAAGTTAATTACTTTTATCTAAAAATACCGCTATATTGTAGCTCCCACGGGAGATCATCTCCAAATAATGTGACAGCATGTTGAAAGAAAACCGGCCCTGTCTTGCATTTCGGATGCTCTTCAAATTCCTCTCATCACATCTGCTCAAAGTTGACTTTTTTTTTTTTTTTTTCAAGGTATCAGAAGATGACTCGTACATCAGCGACATTAGTGACAACAATTCCATGGACAACTTTAACAATGAGGCAGAAAAGAGCAGACAAGATGCAGGTAACATATTGTGAGAAAATTCTTGAACACACCAATCATGCTGTAAAAAAACAAACAAACAAAAAAAAAAACCAAGAAGATGATGTTTTTGGTTTGGTCAGGTTCTGGAGAGAGCAGCACCGTCCTCTGCCGACGTAGATCGCGTCTATCTTCACCCAGCCCCAACAGCAGCGCCATCAGCCTGTGGAACATCCTCAGGAACAACATTGGCAAAGACCTGTCCAAAGTGGCCATGCCGGTGCATCTCAACGAGCCGCTCAACACCCTGCAGAGGCTGTGTGAGGAGCTGGAGTACAGCGAGCTGCTCGATCAGGCCGCCAGCACGCACGATCCCTTTGAACGCATGGTGAGAGGAGAGCTTTTATGCCTTGGCTACTTAAGTGGGCCACAGATAACTCACTCATGCAGTCTGCCCTATTCTGGCAGTTGTTTATTTAGATTAGCCTGTATTTCAAATTTGACTTTAATTAACTTAAAAAAAAGTCTCAAATAAGGTCAAAATGTCATTTTTGTCATCTTTTTATTTTCAAAGCTTTTAATCATGTTTCAAAAATACACAATTTAAATAACTCACGAATGAATACAGATGCTATGGAAGGAAAAATAAATGTTGATTTCTACTGCTGGGCATTCTGGATCAGTGATTGCAGTTCTAAGTGTAATAAATGCCATTTTATGTCATTAGGGATATAGATTGGAATTGGAAGTTGACAAAAAATGCAATCATAATTTTTGGTTTATGCCACAGTGGCTTCTAAGATAATAACAATTCACGACTGTAAGGGTAGCCCTGAGCAATAAAAAGATTCAATTGTTCTTCACTTCTACCTTGAAGGATTTACACCAAAACTTAAGCCATTTTTACACGGATCATCCCACAAAATTGAGACTTCTGAAGGCAGAATTATGCCACCTTTTACCGGCAGTGTAAAATCACTCATGGCTTTTAGCAATTGTGTTTTGTGTGTTTAGGTCTTCATCGCTACGTTTGTGGTATCAGGTTACGCATCCAGCTACTACAGAACTGGTGGGAAGCCTTTCAATCCTGTCCTGGGAGAAACTTATGAATGTGATCGGCCAGATAAAGGCTTCCAGTTCATGGCAGAGCAGGTATGGTTATCCATCCAACCATCCATCCATCCGTTTTCCATTCCGCTTATCCTCACGAGGGTCACGGGCACGTTGGAGCCTATCCCAGCTGTCTACGGGCAGTAGGTAGGGGACACCCTGAACCGGTTGCCAGCCAAACGCAGGGCACAGGTAGATGGACAACCATTCGCGCTCACACTTTAGAGTGATCCATTAACCTCCCATGCATGTTTTTGGAATGTGGAGGGGAAACCAGAATACCCGGAGAAAACCCACGCAGGCCCGGGGAGAACATGCAAATTCCTCACAGTGATGCCAGAGCCGGAATTGAACCCTGCATGTCTGCAAGATAATTTAAAATTTTATGATGATTCCATACATCCATCCCATCCATCTATTCTCAACATCACTTCACCCGAATATGGTCACGGGGGGCTGCAGCCTATCCCAGCTGACTTCGGGCAGGAAAGCAAACAACACCCTGAACCGGTCGCCAGGGTACATATAGAGACAAACACCCGTTCACACCCACATCCACACTGTCACTGAGTGGTAACTGATCCCACGCTGCCCGCTCACAAGTTAGACGAGTGTACCACGAAACCATCAGCGACTGTAGGTCCGGTAATATGAGCTAGTATTAATTGAGGACAACTCTGTTGTTTTCAAATGTGCTCGAGCAATTCATTAAAGTTGGATTTGAATCTGTGTTTGACGAAGCTGTTTACTCCATCAACAGGTCAGCCATCATCCACCTATCTCGGCTTGTCATGCAGAGTCCAAAAATTTTATCTTCTGGCAAGGTGTGTTCATTAGCATACTTTTTTTTTTTTTTGAAGTTCAACTTCAGAATTTTTCATTGTAAAATATTCACTTTGCAGACGTAAGGTGTAAGAACAAGTTTTGGGGAAAGTCAATGGAGATTGTTCCTGTAGGCAGCACACACTTAACTCTGCCTGGGTGAGCTTGACGCACCAAAAACGCAACTTAGGTGTCACACAGCAAGTATTTATTTATTTTTAAATCATATTTGTTCTTATTGCCGCAGGTTTGGAGACCACTATGAATGGAACAAGCTGGAGCCTATCCCAGCTGTCTACGGGCAGTAGGTAGGGGACACCCTGAACCGGTTGCCAGCCAAACGCAGGGCACAGGTAGATGGACAACCATTCGCGCTCACACTTTAGAGTGATCCATTAACCTCCCATGCATGTTTTTGGAATGTGGAGGGGAAACCAGAATACCCGGAGAAAACCCACGCAGGCCCGGGGAGAACATGCAAATTCCTCACAGTGATGCCAGAGCCGGAATTGAACCCTGCATGTCTGCAAGATAATTTAAAATTTTATGATGATTCCATACATCCATCCCATCCATCTATTCTCAACATCACTTCACCCGAATATGGTCACGGGGGGCTGCAGCCTATCCCAGCTGACTTCGGGCAGGAAAGCAAACAACACCCTGAACCGGTCGCCAGGGTACATATAGAGACAAACACCCGTTCACACCCACATCCACACTGTCACTGAGTGGTAACTGATCCCACGCTGCCCGCTCACAAGTTAGACGAGTGTACCACGAAACCATCAGCGACTGTAGGTCCGGTAATATGAGCTAGTATTAATTGAGGACAACTCTGTTGTTTTCAAATGTGCTCGAGCAATTCATTAAAGTTGGATTTGAATCTGTGTTTGACGAAGCTGTTTACTCCATCAACAGGTCAGCCATCATCCACCTATCTCGGCTTGCCATGCAGAGTCCAAAAATTTTATCTTCTGGCAAGGTGTGTTCAGGAGCATACTTTTTTTTTTTTTTTTTTGAAGTTCAACTTCAGAATTTTTCATTGTAAAATATTCACTTTGCAGACGTAAGGTGTAAGAACAAGTTTTGGGGAAAGTCAATGGAGATTGTTCCTGTAGGCAGCACACACTTAACTCTGCCTGGGTGAGCTTGACGCACCAAAAACGCAACTTAGGTGTCACACAGCAAGTATTTATTTATTTTTAAATCATATTTGTTCTTATTGCCGCAGGTTTGGAGACCACTATGAATGGAACAAGGTGACGTCGTGCATTCACAACATCCTGAATGGACAGCGCTGGATCGAGCACTATGGCGAGATCTCCATCAGAAACTCCAACAGTGACGCCTGCCACTGCAAGATCACTTTTGTTAAAGTGAGCCGCAAATTACTTGCGCGCGTAGTCAGTCACATTTTGCGTAATCCTCCTAACTGTCAATCCTGATGTGTCATCTGTTAGTTTGACAACAAACAACTCTTTAAAAACAACCGTAGCTGCAAAGTAGGCGCTGTACATCAAGTAAAAATCAGGCATGTAAAAACAAAGACAGTGAAAAGAATAAATTAATACTAATGAGAGGGTGGACTTGAATTTGAGGCCAATTTGAAAGCTGATTCGGAAGAAGCGTTCCCATTGCTACTATAGTTTGTTTACATCACATCTATTAGAACCACTTATTCAGAAGGCAGATTAAATGGACATGGCAGCACCTGAAAGCTGCATTCTGATTGGACAAAAGAATCAAACATCCACAGACATGTCATTGAATCAGTCCAGACAAGTGAATAAATCAATACAATTTCAACAAACCAATATTATAATTTGCTATAAATGTAAATGGGTGCTTCTAATTGTGTGTGTGTGTGTGTGCCAGATAATCTAAAATAAAGTACAGTACTTACTTTTTTTCACTCGGCAGTAAATACTACAGACTGCATACTTGTGCCTAAAATATAAAACGTAGACAAACATGTTTTTAGTTGACATTTGTGAGATGCTATTGTTGGGACATTTCCACATCCAGAGTGCTCAAACCTAAAACGCTTTTGATATAAATTAGAATGACTCCATTCTGTCGAAGGGCTTTAATTACTCATTGACCTTTGCGCACAGTTGATGTTCCTCACCTGCATGCAACTCGGAAGCCCACGTGATCATTTTTGACGTTTGATGTATGGAAGCTTCCGCTGAGCTGAGAAGGTTAATTGTTCTCATTTCAAAGGTCCCCCTTGAGGTAGGTGATTCGAGGAAAAAGGGGGGATTTATTCATCCTCACCTCCCATTTAATACTCCAGACAGGCAGGAGAAGTGATGGTAAAGACCAAAAGAAGACATTATCATGAGGTCCTGGATGATAGAGTGTGATCAACTGTTCCAAATTATGGCCTTCACTTTGATGAATGTTCTTCTTTGTCAAAGGCGAGATGGAACTCAAGTGTGAACGAGGTGGAAGGAACCATCACGGATCAGAAGGGGCATGTGGTCCATCGGCTCTTTGGAAAGTGGCACGAAGCCGTTTACCGCGGGGCGCCGCCCTCGGCCACATGCATCTGGAGAGCAAGTATGACCGTTTCATTTCATGCCGAAGCATTCAGTGCACGGTTCGTGAATATGAATGCGGGTAACGCTCGTGCCGTATATGCAGATGCCATGCCGCTGGACCACGAGCAGTACTACGGTTTCACCAAGTTTGCCATTGAGCTGAATGAGCTGGACGCCTCCTTAAAACCGCTCTTGCCACCCACTGACACCAGACTGCGTGTGGACCAAAGGTGAGGGACCCCCCCCACCCCCCCAACCCCCCC